TGTTAAAAACAAAAATTAAGGAGTATACAGTTTTTCTAAAACTACAGCCACTAAAAAACGCAGCATATGTGATAGAAGCACAGCAGCAGTGTTTGTTTTGCCATTTTTACACGAACCTGGTAATAAGACATGTCTGTACATTAAACAAACAAGAATAATTATTAATCCATGTTTATTTTCAAATCAACACTTTAACGTTCACTTGTATCTAAGGAAGGCTGGGGAGGTAAAAAAGATTAAGGGGTGGAATTAGGATAAGTTACAGCTCATGAGGTACTCCATCAGAGCATCTCTGACACCTCGGCCCTGCTCTCCATCTTGCGGGACAGCGACCAGGATGGGCTGTGCGGCTGGTTCTGCTTCAAGTTCACGGAGGTCATCCATTTTGGTTGTGTGTTGTTTTCCAGCTCTTCTTCTAATACATGTTAGTGGTGCTTAGAAAAGAGCTTAATGTAGCACTACCGCCACCAGCTGGTAAGGTGCGTTGATATTAATAATCCGCCCACTAGAGGTGAACAATCCGCCCACTAAACGGGAACTATAGGCAAAGTGGAGACACAAAAATAGAGGTCCCACTAGAACCGGACACAACAGGCTACAACAAGAACCAGACCTGTGGATACCAGGCTTTAGAGAGGTCAAGGTCGAGAGCTTCAAATCTTTTTGTAGGATATTCCAGGAAACAGGAGCGGAGTGGATACAGCAGTGGTGGGATGCATCACAAACAACGATGAGTCCAGCTACAGACAGGAGGTGGAACACCTGTTGGGCTGGTGCAAGGAGAATAGCCTTCACATCAATGTGAAGAAGACAAAGGAGATGATTGTGGACTTTAGAAGAACGAAACATACCTACACTCCCCTGAACATAAGATGATCTGCAGTGGAAGTGGTCTCCAGCTACAAGTACTTGGGTATACACCTGAATGACAACCTCAGCTGGGGCAACAACACTACCAGCCTGATCAAGAAAGCTCATCAGAGACTCTACTTCCTCTGATGGCTGAGACAAGCTGGTCTGGGAAGCTCAGTCCTCACCTCCTTCTACAGGTGTGCAGTGGAGAGCATCCTGTGCTCCAGCATCAACGTGTGGCATGGAGGCTGCACAGCTGCAGAAAGAAAAGCTTTGCAGAGAGTGGTGAAGGCTGCAAAGAAGACTGTTGGAGTCAGCCTCCCCACCATCACTGACATTTACACCTCCAGATACAGGAAGAGGGCCACCTGCATCATGAAGGACCCCACTCACTCAGCACACACACTTTTTGCCTCGCTCCCCTCAGGAAGGAAGTTAAGGAGCATTAAGTGTAGAACCACTAGACTGAGGAACAGCTTATACCCTGAAGCTGTTAGACTCATGAATCTCTAACCAGGATAATCACTGTGAAAAATCACATCATGTTGCTGCTGATCTGTTTCATGCTGCTGCTGATCCGTTTCATGCTGCTGCTGTGTTCATTCATGTTCATCTGCTCACTCAGATCCATGTTCGTGTTGCTGTTCGGTGTAATGTTTTTACGCTATTAGTGTTTAGTGTATTTTTTTTTATGTTTTTTTTAGTTCATATCTTAGATCTTATTAATGTTTTCTTTTACATTTTATTGCTGGATGTAACTGGGACCCTGTGTACATAATTTTGTTCCACCACATGTACCACATGTGGTGTGAATGACAAATAAAGAACCATGAATCCTTGAACTTGAATTCTGCATGTTTGATCAAACAGATAACTCTGTCCTTTCTCAGCAGGAGATGCTGTTAGTCTAAAACATTACTGTAAAGGGTTGCATGGAAAATTACTGTTTTTACTTTCTTGACTTTAAGTTTAAATGGTCGATAAGACATCTCACATTTAAAAGTCCACAAAGAATCCCCACGTTTCTGTGCAATCCCAGCAGCAGCAATGTCTGAACAAACCAACCTTTATTTATACAGGTAAATCCCATTGAGCCTCGAGGACTCATTTACAAGAGAGACCTGATTTCAACAAAGAAAGATGACAACAATGGACAACAGCAACAACAATAAACAGTTATAAAAAAAGCATACTACAGTTTTTTTTTTTTTAACAAATAGGATGGCTAAAAGGAAAAGGTAACAAAACAAAAAAAAACAGCTAGATTCCAAGACAAATTCCAAGAAAACTAACAACAGGAACATGTCAGCATTGGACCCTGCCAGGTGTCCAACAGATTCTTAAAGACACTTAGAGAGGTCAAGGTCGAGGTCAACCAAACTCAATTAGTAGTACATCTGGAAGACCTCTGACAAAAACCACCAGAAGAACAGAAAGCTCTTTGAACAATAAGGCATCCTGTCCGCCACCCCGCCCCGCCCTCCAACAGCACTTCCTTTCGTACAGGAAATGGGCTTGCACGCTCCAACTGTAATGACTGAGTGGGTCTGAGGGTTTGGTTTAATGGATCTGATCTGTTTGGGGTCTTTCATGAACCAGCATGCAGCTGTTTGTGACCCCAGCCTGCAGTAAACACATGGCCTGTTGACACTTGTTCATGTTGACAGGTGCTGACAGGAAGCGGTGTCGCCTTACCGACCCAAACACTCTGAAGACCAGAACATCAACAAGTGACTCTGTTCCTGAGGGAACGGGGCCATCAGATGTGAAGGGGCAAGGAGAGATAAGCAGGAAAGATGATGCTCCTTTTATCATATTTATTTGTCTAACAATACTCAGAGATATTCTGGCCTTGCATACTGGGATAATTTCCACCAGGACTTTCATAATATTTCTGCAGAAATAATTTAATAATGATGGCAACAAGAATTCAAAGATACTCTTTGGAAAAGCTAGAATGAAAGGTTGAAGACTGGAGTTGTTTTAAAACGGCAGTGATCTACTTTGGAAGGGGCTCCACAGTCCGAGCACACCTACTTCCACAGTGGACTTATTAATTGTTATTCTAGAACAACTCTAAAAAAAACATTTCTAAAATAATGTTAGCTAATTTCTACAGAAACCCACTGTAGACTGGGCTGCGTGTGGACGAACTGTTAGGTCACCAGTCTTCTCTTTACCTGGTAACAGGTGTAAGGTGTCACACTGTCAGAAGCACCACATGTTCCTTCACATGGTTCCAACACTTTAAATTCTTCACAACATGAGAACACACAAAGGATATGATTTTATTTAACCCCTTGTTATTGGACTTGTTGCATTCTGAACGACTGCTTGTTAAAACAATTATGTCAGACAAACATAAAATAGTCACTTAGTGTATATTACTGTGAAACAACGACCCACAGGATCATTGAGCAAACTGCTGACGTAAATTGTGTCTGTAAAGTCCTTTATGACCTCTATGAAAAAAATAAAAAATAAAAAAACTTAAATAAATGTCTTCCTTTTTGGGTCACAAACGTCACTGGTGTCCATATCCAGCAATCACTGTGTGAGAGGCAGGGACACCTGGACAGGTCTCCAGTCCATCACAGGGACACAGAGACAAACAATCATTCATTCTCTCTCACACACTTCGAGACAATTCAGAGTTACCAATCAGCCTAACATGCATGTTTTTGGTCTGTGGGAGGAAACTGGAGTACCCGGACAAAACCCACGCATGCACGGAGAGAACATGAAAACTCCACCCAGACCAATCTAAATGACTATCGCCCCGTGACTCCTACACCCATCATCATGAAGTGCTTCGAACATCTTGTTAAGCAACCCATCACCTCTACTCCCTCCAATGACCCATTCCAGTTTGCTCACCGCTCCAACCACTGCCATCACCTAAACACTCCACCTGAGCCTGCAACACCTGGAGGAGAACAGCTGTTTAGGAGAACAGCTGTTTGTGGACTTCAGCTCAGCTTCAACACAATCATCCTGCACCTGGTCAGAAAACTGGCTCCACCAAGCTTCAACACCACCTTCAAGGAGGTGGAGGTGGTGGAGAGCACCAGGCTCCTGGGGGCGGGGGGGGGGGGGGGGCATATCACCAATCAGCTGTCGTGGTCAGTAAACACTGGGTCCCTGGTGAAGAAAGACCAGCAGCATCTGCACTTCCTCCATAGGATGAGGATATCACACCTCCTCCACCACATGTCCTCACCACGTTCTACAGAGGAACCATGGAGAGCATCATGACCAGCTGCACCTCTGTTTGAGAAGGAAGCTGCCGGCTGCAGACTGGAAGAATCTGAGGAGGGTGGTGAGAATCATGGAGAAGATCATGACCATCCAGGATATTGGTCTCAGACGCTGTCTGACCAGAGACAAGAAAATCTAAAGAGACAACTCACACCCACAACATAGACTATTTACTCAGCACCAGAACAACCAGCATGAGGAGCAGGACCACCAGCCTGAAGACCAGAACCACCAGCCTGAGGACCAGGACCAGCAGCCTGAGGACCAGAACCACCAGCCTGAGAACCAGAACCACCAGCTTGTGGACCAGAACCACCAGCCTGAGGACCAGAACCACCAGCCTGAGGAGCAGGACCAGCAGCCTGAAGACCAGAACCAGCAGGTTCTGCAACAGTTTCATCCCATTAACTATCAGACTGCTGAACTCAAGTCACTAATGAAGTGACCACAACACACACACACACACACACAAGTGTGTAAAATCCCTGCAGTTCAACTCCTGCTGTGGAGAAATGAAAGCTGACTGTTCATTTGAATAAAGTTTATAAAGTTCAAAGAGCAGCGGGGTCAGTGTGCAGCTCGTGCTGTTAAGGACTGAAAACATCCATTTAAAATGGAAACCAGTTTGACACTAACTGTGCTCCTGATGAGCCTGTCCTCATCTAATGGTGATAAATGTGCACGTGTATGAGGAGCAGATGTTGGTGGACTGAGCACTGTCCCCTGGGCAGCAGGACTTGGACCACTGGTGTCTGATGCTTTGAGTGCTCCTTTAAATCACATCGTGCACTGGGATTAGCGTGCACGCGTGCAAACACCGGGGGTCCTGCGGACAGACAGAGTGCTGGTCTCACGTGAAGACATGAAGGATCTGCTCAGGCCACACTTACCCTGCACCACAGGTCCGAGAGCAAAGAAAACCAGGAGAGGAGCCAGGGTCAGACCTGTGCCCATCATCAGGAAAAGTTCTGAAGAGCAGCCTCAGAGCTGTCCAGCAGCACCACAGAAGATCCAGAACCAGGAGGTGGTTCCACTTTACTGAGCTGGGACTCCAGCATGAAAGACCCGGAGCAACATGTGAGCTGCTGGACGACCGAAGCAGAACTTCACGTCCATCAGCCGAACCTCCTCCACACACTGGTGCCAAGGTCCAGGTCTCAGTCCGCCGGACTGTCCGGGTCTCGGTCCACGTGGCCGTGCGTCTGGAGACCGGTCGCTGCAGGTTCCCGAGGATCAAAGAGTTCCGAGGCGACAGGAAGTCATGGCGCAGAGCACGAGACCACTTCCTGCGACAGACAGCTGGCTTCGGGTTCGGTCCGCTTCGCTGGATCCTGCTTACTGCACAGCCTCATCACAAAGCAGCACTGAGCATAGAACCACAGCCTGCAGGCTGCGTGCTTTAAACACATCACTTCCTGCTGTCCTTTCAAAATAAAACGCTTGCGGACTCCGATTTAAGTGTTTTTTATTCAACCTTTATTTAACCATCCATCCATCCATTTTCTTTACCCGCTTATTCCATTTTGGGTCACAGGGGTCGCTGGTGCCCATGTCCAGCAATCACTGTGCGAGGGGCGGGGTACACCCTGGACGGGTCGCAAGTCCATCACAGGGCCACACAGAGACAAACGAGACAAACAAACATTCACTCTCTCACTCACACCTAGGGACAATTTAGAGTTCCTTTATTTAACCAGTTTAATAATAATAAATATAATGCATTTTATTTGTTAGCACCTTTCAAGACACCCAAGGACACTTCACAACATTAAAAAAACAAAATAAAACAATGCAAAATGGCTATAAAAACACTAAACCAAGAGGAAAATAACAAGAAATTAAAGTTTAGTCTCGATGAGTCACGAGGACTCATTTACAAGAGAGACCCGTTTTAGACAGACAGCATATAAAGTACAGACAACAATATACAGCAATAAAAAAAAGAAAAGAAAAATAGTGTTATAAAAACAACAAACTCAAAGTGCCATATAAAACAAGTTCAAATAGTAAAAACAAGAACATATCTGTTAGCTTTTTCTAATGACATTATCTTTATCATTCTCAGAATTGAAACCTTTGTAGCTCACGACCACCAAAATAAGACAACTTAACCTCAAACATAACTTTCACCAACATCTGTGATCGCAAGTTTATCACCACTATCAATTCAATTCAATTCACTTCAATTCATCCTTCCATCATCCATCCATTTTCTTTGCCCGCTTATTCCATTTTGGGTCACAGGGGTCACTGGTGCCCATGTCCAGCAATCACTGTGCGAGGGGCGGGATACACCCTGGACAGGTCGCAAGTCCATCACAGGGCCACATAGAGACAAACGAGACAAACAAACATTCACGCTCTCATTCACACCTAGGGACAATTTAGAGTTACCAGTCAGCCTAACATGCATGTTTTTGGTCTGTGGGAGGAAACCGGAGTACCCGGAAAAAACCCACGCATGCACTGAGAGAACATGCAAACTCCACCCAGAAAGGCCCCTGGACTGGGGTTTGAACCAAGGACCTGCTCGCTGAGAGGCAGCAGCTCTACCAGTTGCGCCACCATGCTGCAATTCAAATTCAAAAATACTTTATTAATCCCAAAGGGAAATTATTTGTAGTTGTAACTCGTTATCCTCATTTCATTAAGAGATGTTATAGATACTGTTTAGGTCCCTGTATGACCGGTGTATGACCGGTGTCAGAGCCTGGTCCGCATCGCCGGCAGTAAGTTGGGCTTGTTCCCGGTGAGAGTTGGACTCCGCCAAGGTTGCCCTTTGTCACCGATTCTGTTCATAACTTTTATGGACAGAATTTCTAGGCGCAGCCAAGGTGTTGAGGGGATCCGTTTTGGTGGCCTTAGGAATGCGTCTCTGCTTTTTGCAGATGATGTGGTCTTATTGGCTTCATCAGATCGTGATCTACAGCTTTTGCTGGAGCAGTTCGCAGCCGAATGCGAAGTGGCCGAGATGAAGATCAGTTCCTCCAAATCCGAGGCCATGGTCTTGAGCCGGAAAAGGTAGAGTGCCTTCTCCGGGTCAGGGAGGAGGTCCTACCCCAAGCAGAGGAGTTCAAGTATCTTGGGGTCTTGTTCACGAATGAGGGAAAAATGGAGCGTGAGATCGATAGGCGGATAGGTGCAGCATCTGCAGTGAAGCGGGCGCTGTACAGGTCTGTCGTGGTGAAGAGAGAGCTGAGTCAAAAGGCGAAGCTCTCAATTTACCGATCAATCTACGTTCCTACCCTCATCTATGGTCACGAGCTTTGGGTTGTGACAGAAAGAATGAGATCTCGGATACAAGCGGCCGAAATGAGTTTTCTCCGCAGGGTGTCTGGGCTCTCCCTTAGAGACAGGGTGAGAAGCTCGATCATCCGGGAGGGACTCAGAGTAGAGCCGCTGCTTCTCCACGTCGAGAGGAGCCAGTTGAGGTGGCTTGGGCATCTGTTTAGGATGCCTTCTGGACGCCTCCCTGGTGAGGTGTTCCGTACACGTCCCACCGAAAGGAGGCCCAGAGGAAGACCCAGGACACGCTGGAGGGACTATGTTTCTCGGCTGGCCTGGGAACGCCTCGGGATTCCCCCGGAAGAGCTGGCCCAAGTGGCTGGGGAGTGGGAAGTCTGGGCCTCCCTACTTAGGCTGCTGCCCCCACGACCTGACCCCGGATAAGCGGAAGAAAATGGATGGATGGATGGATGGATGGATGGATGGATGGATGGATGGATGGAGATCTCTTCAGTCAAATTGTTGTCCTTTGGAATTCTGTGTGTACTCATCCAAGTTTAGTCTTCTTATGCTACTTTTAGCTAACATTTTACTTATTTTTTAAATTTATTTATTTATTAACCTTTATTTAACCAGGCAACTCCCATTGAGATCACAGATCTCTTTTGCAATTCCTCCCAGGACCAGCAGCTGGTGTTTTGTGACCCAAAGAAGGGTCAACCCCAACTTTGAAAACCCATGACTTGGATAAGAGGGTCCTGAGATTGGAGTTTCAAGCTCCCCACCTTTGGCTTGGTCTTGAAATGATTGTGAGCAATTAAATAAAATTTAAAATGATTGCTAATGACAGAACTTCCCAATAAGAAAATGTGTTGTATTAAAATAGAGACACGTGGATGAAACATTTAAACAGTTGCTGAAGCTCTTACTGTCGTATCATTGTACAGTTTACCATTGATTGTCACAATCTGATGTTTATTGAATCAGAGCTGAAAAGTTGGAAACTGAAAACAGATTCAACAAGTTCTCTGAGGTCTGATCCAAAAACCAGTTGAGTCCAAGTCTGGGGGAGCAGCTTCATCTGATTATGAACACAATATAATTAAACTGAGTCATTATTTATTCTACCCGTCCAGGGTGTCCCCCGCCCCTCGCACAGTGATTGCTGGACATGGGCACCAGCGACCCCCGTGACCCAAAATGGAATAAACGGGTAAAAGAAAATGGATGGATGGATTATTTATTCTGTTTATTAAATAAAAGTCACGTGATGAATTAAAGTTTATTTTTGTTTTATTTTTGATAATCAAAAAACAACTTACGGTTAACTTCTGTAGTTCTTTTTGCTTAACCATTAGGAAGTTTTCTTAAAGGGCCAGTGCTCCAAATAGCGCAGACCTTCCTCCTCAACCTGGACCTGAACCAGTTTCATCTGACAAGATGAAGTTGATTATTAAAAGCACATTCAAAACAAAAGTTGTTTAAAAAAACTGGTACATAAAGCAACAAAAATAAAAGCATTCTTATAAACTATAAAAGACAATACATAAAAATAAAAATAATAATAATAATTAAGTCCAACTGTAATAAAACAGTTTCAAATAAAATTGATGCCTTCAGGTGATCAGAAAGGAGCAAGCATCTTCTGTGAACAAAGACCTAAAGTAAAGATGAGACGGAGAGCAGGTGTGGATGGAAGAAGTCACAAAGCTTACTTTAAAAACAAAATAATAATAATTTTAGGGTAAACCTTTAATGTCTTTTATGCCCAACAGTAAAACTTCAACATGAATCCAAAAGTAAACTGAAGATCCAAGAAGGAAGAGCAGGGAGAAAGTTTTTGTGATTGCTGCAGTTCTCTGACCATGACAGGAAAACTCAGAACAAAGGTTACAAAAAAAAAAAAAAAAGATAAAAACATGGACTATCTATTCAAAAAGTAATAAAAACTTTTGTTACCACTGAATTGATGTGTTTTATCAGTCTATTCTTCTTCACATTAACCATCCACCATCGAGCTCTGTGTCTGGGCTTCAAACAGTGGAGGAGCCAGAAGAGTTTAGAGATGAAAGTAGGTGGTCCACAAAGATTAGCAGCTCATAAGGTCAGAAACTGAATCAATAGCACTTCAGGATTCTGAAAGGATTGTGGGATTTCAGAGCCCTAGAGTGTGTCAGGAAGGGCATCTGACTTAAAATGCTTTTGCGAGTTCATCAAAGTGACACCATACCGGTTCAGTTGTGGCCCGGGTAAACAACAACCACCACCAGTGCTATTGACAAACAGAGTGCCAGGAGAAATTGTTGAAGACCACGAGGAAGGAAACATGTCAGGAGACAGAGGGAAAAGAGGAAAGTTAAGAATGTAGGACTGAAGGTGGCAACTCTAAATGTGAGGACAATGACAGGCAAAGGTAGAGAGCTGGCTGACATGATGCAGAGAAGGAAGGTAGATGTTTTATGTGTCCAAGAGACCAAGTGGAAGGGCAGCAAGGCTCGCAGCATTGGAGCAGGGTTCAACCTGTTTTATCATGGTGTGAATTTAGGAGAAATGGAGTAGGGGTGGTTCTGAAGGAGGAGTTGGCAAAGAATGTGCCTGAAGGTACAAGTAGAAGGTCTGATACTAAAGGTTGTCAGTGGTTATGCTCTACAGGTTGGATGTGATGTGGAGGAGAAAGATCAATTTTGGAAACATCTGGATGACATGATAGAGTATTCCCAGGGAGGAGAGTGGTGATCGGAGCAGACCTGATTGCTTGGTGTAGGAAACAGAGGAGATGAGCATGATGGGTAGGTTTGGTGTCAAGGAAACAAACCAGGAAGGACAGATGGTGGTGGATTTTGCCAAGAGAATGGAAGTGGCTCTAGTCAACACTTATTTCCAAAAGAGA